AATACCATTTATTGGGTGGGTTCCGGTTGAGTTTCAACTTACTGGTGTAGAGGATTCAAGCCCAAGTCTGTTAGTGCCCGTACTCGTCTCAAGCGACTACAATGTAGCTCAGGACCCTATTATAGGATTTAATGTGATAGAAGAAGTGATTAATTACCAACTAAAACAGGGTTCAACCAAAAGTGATTGTGCAGCCAACATTGTGAGCAGTGCTTTTGACATGGATGTGGTGTCCGCTAAGACCTTGATTCATTTGTTGCACACCCACCAAACAGTAAATGAAGGGATTCAGGTGAAAACAGGAAGGAGTAAAATTGTCCTAGGTGCAAGGGAAGCCACCACCATTCGCTGTCGCACACGTATACAGGTGGATGGAGGCACTGCTATGTTGTTTTGCCCAAACTTGAGCCAGAGTTTGCCTGGAGGATTGCGTATACAAGAAGTACTGTTCAAGGCAAAGAGAGGCAATGCAACCACTGTCCCAGTACCAATCACTAATACCAGTAGTCATAAAATAACGCTGGATCCCTGTGTTGTTTTGGGACATGTTGAAGGGGTCAAAGCAATATACCCAGCAGCTCTACAGCCTGTGAACCTACCAAAAATGGATGAAAATGACGCAGGCTTTAAAAGCTCGTCAACTCCCCGCAGCTACACAAGCGAGAAACGGGATCCTCCTGTACTATTAGAACACTTAACGAATGAGCAGCAAAATGTCTACCGTTAGAACACTTAACGAATGAGCAGCAAAATGTAGTGAGGGAAATGCTCAGGGAGGAGTGTAACGCATTCGCCCGGGATGAAAATGATGTCGGCAGCATCCCTACCCTCCGCATGCACATTTCTCTTCATGATCATTCACCAGTCCAAAAGACTTACATTAGCGTGCCCAAACCACTACACCAGGAAGTGAAAGCATACCTGCAGGATTTAATCAACAGGGGATGGGTCACAAAATCAAAGTCACCATATTCCTCACCGATAGTGTGTGTAAGAAAGAAATCGGGGGAGCTCAGACTTTGTGTAGACTATCGTGAGCTTAATCGCAAATCGGTACCAGATAGACACCCTATTCCTAGGATACAAGACATGCTAGATAGTCTTACTGGTAGTTCGTGGTTTACTGTGCTTGATCAAGGGAAAGCCTATCACCAAGGGTTTTTGTATGAAGAAAGTCAGCCACTCACAGCATTCGTTACGCCCTGGGGTTTGTACCAGTGGGTACGGATCCCATTTGGCCTGAGTTCTGCCCCGGCTGAATTTCAGAGAAGCATGGAGGAGTGTTTGTGGGGTTTGCGGGATGACATTTGCCTACCTTACCTCGATGACAATTTAGTTCACAGCAAGTCGTTTCAAGACCATGTTGAACATGTGAGAGCAGTTTTACAAAGATACCAGAAGCACCGCTTCGGTGTTAAACTTACTGCTCGGAAATGTGAACTTTTCAAGCCTAAAGTCAGATTTTTGGGCAGTATTGTGTCAAAAGATGGACATGGTATGGACCCGGCAGAGATTGCTCCCGTCTTGTCCCTAAAAGATAGACACCCCTGCACGGTGGGCGAGGTGAGACAAGTTTTAACATTTCTGTCTTTCTACAGGTCATACATACAAGACTTTTCGCGCATTGCCAAACCATTGTACGAGCTCTTGGCCGCCCCCAGCTCACCCCGAGACTCAAGAACACAGATAAAGACAAGAAAGGGGAAAAGTAAACACATTCAAGGGCAGTTACCATCATCTGCCCCGATTACATGGACAGGGACTCACCAGCAGGTTTTGTGCTGTCTGGTTGACAAATTGTCAAGTCCTCCTATCCTTGGTTACCCAGACCTCAATCATCCATTTGTGTTACATACTGATGCCTCTCAGGCGGGACTAGGTGCGGTGCTCTATCAACGTAGCGATGGAAAATTAAGGGTCATAGCCTATGGATCTAGAACTTTAACACCGCCAGAGAAAAACTACCCCATGCATGCGGGTAAATTGGAGTTTCTAGCACTCAAGTGGGCTATCTGTGAGCGCTTTAGGGATTATTTGTTGCATGCACCATCTTTCGTGGTCTACACAGATAATAACCCGCTCACCTATGTGTTGACCACTGCTAAATTGAATGCCTCTGGTCAACGATGGGTAGCAGAATTGGCAGATTTCAATTTTACCATAAAATACAGACCAGGCAAAACCAATGCCGATGCAGACGGGTTATCTAGGATGCCCATTGATTTCGAGGACTACATGAGCCGCTGTACGCAGTCTGTTAGTCAAGATGTAGTAACAGCCACACAACAGGGTATCTTGGTACAGCAATTAGAGCAAACACCCATGTTTAGTGCCGTCTCCTTCGATACTCTCCAACAGCAAACAGGAGCTGAACGACTGTTAGACACTATCCAGCCAATCCCCAGAGAAGAGATTTGCGCAGCTCAGCAACAAG